AGCATCAAAAATAAGCAAAAAAATGCCAGAACAAAAATCAGACTGAAGAAGACTATGAATACCCTTCACCTGTCCTCCCCGCTTCCTAAATTTAGGAGTTATTGATCTTGTAAAAAGTACTAGTGCAGTCCAAGTTTGCAATTCTTATCAAGCAGTTTTCTGACACCCTGAAGTATTTGACTAGAATCTTTCTTGTGTAATTACTTAAAAGCCAGATCTAGTTAACCCACCCACGAAGTGTGTCTCTACAGTCAGAGAGAAACAAGTACCTCCAGGGGGCAATCCACCCTATAGACACTTATTTTAGGATGGGGCAAATCACTCTCTGATGGTGCCTTTCTCCAATCGCTCCCATTAGAGAGGATGAATGCAGTTTGCCTGAGTGGATATCTCATTTCTGGATGACTGAAGTTTGGTAGCATGGATTCCAATCTTTGTACCTAAAGGCTGCGGAGATTAGTGGTGGTAAAGCAGAAAACAGTGTGTAGACTTCATTGTGTTTCAAATATCTAGAAGGCCTAGACTGCCTATTTTTCCCCAGCATCAACAGGACAACTGCTGGGCCCTAATAAATGAAAACATTATGACAAAGCCATCCCACTCATCCCTTTCCTCCCGTCCACACCCTTTCAAGAACCTTATACAGATTTAAGTAGTGCTCTGCTTAAGGAAGCAAATGCTGAAAGATGCTGAATACCTGCAACTTTGATACGACTCATCAGGTTAAAACTCTGAGATCCTTATACTGTTTATTCATGCAAATTCTGGTGTGCCAGATGCTGAGCAGTGCTGAATGGCTGCTCAGTGGGAGTTGTGGTTGCTCAGCACCTCCAAAGAATTGGCACATAAACTTCAGCCTGGACTTTGCTTACGGGAAAAACAAATTCAACCATCAGTCATGCAGGGTGTGCTTCCCTCCCCACTTCATGAGCTGGCCTGGTGAAAATTCCTGGTGCTTACTGAAAGCATCATCTGATGTCACTCGACACCACAGGGGAAAATATAAATCAAAGTGTAAGTATTCAGCACTCTCTCAGCATTGGTCTGATGTGATTAGTGTAATCTGAGGTAAACACTTTAGTTATTCCTTATTACTGTTAGGGACCCAAATCAAGGCTTGGGAACTTGTTATTCTAGGTAATGTGAAAAACAAGCCCTACCCATGAGATCTCCAAGAGTAAGATAAAGCTGGGGTAGAAGCTTAACAACAGTTACCTAATAGCAATGGATAGACACAATGAAGTGTTGAATCTGAACCGTCTGAAAGGCATGTGGCAAAGGCTGTGCCGTGCTCAGCAGAAAGCTTTCCTCTGGCAGTGGAGTAGGGCTGTGGTAACACAGACAGCGAGGTGACCTGGGATGAGATTGCAAGGGCCTACGGAGGGGTCCGATGCCCGAATCCTCTTGACACTGAAGAGACCTGCTTCTGCTTTCTACCTTTTGGAATCGCCTCCTGGTTCAAAGAAGTTGTTTTCTGTAGAAGTCTACAGCTGGCATCTTTGTCTCAAGGCAATCCCAGCACACTGTATAACTCTGAGTTGTGGGGGCTGCTACTGGAAGGGGGGAAGGGACTTAATAATGTGGACAGAGTTGCTCCTGGCATCTTTCGATGGTCTCTTGCCTCAGAAAAGGGTAGCGTACCTCAGTCACTGTATGACTCAAGAGCACAAATACGAAAGTGTCACGGGTGTGAAAACGCAAGTCTAAAAGCCAAGGAATGGCCCTACTGTCATTTCTGCGCTTGCTTCACTCCCGGCTGGGTGTGATGGCAAATGATGGCTCTTGGAAAGGCCCATCGAGGTATTGCAGACTGGCAGCCTGCTGAGTCCAGCGGGGTACAGGGAGTAAATGCTTCACCCAGCCAAACCCAGTGGGAATATGCTGGAGCTCTGACATTGTTTTGCTGACACAGGAAGATGTCATCACAGCAGAATATGAAGGAGTTAACACATGATGAAATACATTTTTGGCAGTGATGCAGACAAAGATTGTTTTGTTTGAAATACAGTACCAACAGTGCTGGTTAACAAGGTAATGCAGTCACTTGGCCAGTCTGGGTTATTAGATTGTGCTTTTTTTCTTCTAACATGTTAGTTCCAAATCCTATGAAACAAGCTACTTAACTTTAAGCCCATAAATAGTTTTTTGCTTCAAAGTTAACCTTAGTTTAATGTATATTTCTGGATAGTGGCTGGCTGGAACAGCAAGTGGAAGTCCTAAAGGAAGCCTGTCTTGCACAGGAAGATAAATAACAAGATGACAGTGTGGTTTTAAGTAAAAAAGAATAAAAATGCAGGAAATTAATTTTTAATCCTATTGCCAGTCTTATTCCTTTGCAGAGTGAGGAGAAGCGAGGAGGGCTGTCCCATGCCTGCTTAGACACACTGCTAAGGGCTCAGTGCACAAAATTGCACAATGAATTTCAAAATTACTTTTAGCTAGTCCAGGTACTCTGGCTGTCCTTCCAAAAATAAAAGGCAAAATTTTCAACATCATAGAGGACTAATAAACCACCTACGCTCCTGCATCTACCGAGATCAAGAGAGCGCAGAATCCCTTACGACTCAGAAAGTCTAGCCATGCATTTACTGCTGATACCTGACTTTTGTAATCAGGTTGAAAGGTTCGTATTCAGCACTTTCCAGGGCTCAGAGGCAGATCTTCTATAATCAGGACTCAATTAGCTACCTAGCTTTTCAGCTGAAGATCTGGCCCCGTGGGCCTAATTCTTTACAATACTTTTGCCTAAGCCCAGGAGACAACCCTTCTCACCAACAGTGCTGAAAATGGACTTTTGTATTCTAGTAGGAAGCTGTTTCTCCTAGATTTTTCACTATGCTTGTGCTCTCGCTAAAGTACATGATAAAATTAGCAAGCAAAAGCTATATTCTTCTCCAAGATCCTTGCCCATAAAAATCCTTTCTGAGCCCTGTATTTTGCAGTGAGTAGCAGTTGAGTGCCTTGGTGTGAAAACACGAATTTAAGTCAAAGATTAGTCCATATTTCAAATCAGATTCTCAGATAGTATTTCATTGGAATAAATAAGGCTATTTCAGTCTAGAGCAACTGAGGATCTGGGTCTAAAAAAGGACCCATGAACTCTAATTAGATATAAATAGAGAAATAGGGAGCTACTTTTTTCATACCTCCATGCTGTTTTGTCTGTCGGTGTCATGACACTCAAAAGGGTAGTAACTGGAATGAAGCCCAGTAGCAAATTTATACTTAACATACCATTAGTTCTTACTAATTCCTGTGGTACACTTTAACATTAAGCACTTATAAAAATGCTTAGGAAAATCATCCATCCCATGCTTCAGTTCCTCACAAGCATCCCTGCTTCATTGTTTGTTCCTGGATATGTCTGTTAGCATCACTGCTTTGGTAACTTTCCATTTTAGGACAGTATTATAAACGATTGAGAGGTGTTAAAATTCAGAGGACACTGCTCTGTCATTTTCCTTCTATCAAGTAGTACCTTGACATCAAATAGTTCTCCTGAAATCACGCTGAAGTTCCCAAAGTAAGGTGAAAACCTGCACAGAGAAAGCTGGCAATATTTGCTATTTTACTTTTAAGAATGTTCAGTATTGTATGTGCATATCTAGGAATATAGAGGTGAAAAAAAATCCTGTATAATGCATGATAAACTGTGATTTTAATGATGGAGGTGTAAGGCATCCCTTAGCTACCAAATACACCTATTTTTGTCTATTTTATCTTTGATAGGTTTTCTGATACTATCACAAAGCTGGTCTTCATTCTCTTCCAACGGGATCTGAAAATGCTAGAACTAGTAAAAGTATTTCTGTATGTCACAGAATTGTAGAATACTTGGGTTGGAAGGGACCTTTAAAGGTCATCTAGTCCAAACCCCTTGCAATGGGCAGGGACATCTTCAACTAGATCAGGTTGCTCAGAGCCCCGTCCAACCTGACCTTGAATGTCTCCAGGGATGGGGCATCTACCACGTCTCGGGGCAACCAGTTACAGTATTTCACCACCCTCATGGTGAAAAACTTCTTCCTTAGATTTAGTCTGAATCTCCTCTATTTTAGTTGAAAACCAATACCCCTTGTCCTATTGCAACAGGCCCTGCTAAAAAGTCTGTCCCAATCTTTCTTATAGGCCCCCTTTAAGTACTGGGAGGCTGCAAGAAGGTGTCCCCAGAGCCTTTTCTTCTCCAGGCTGAACAACCCCAACTCTCTCAGCCTGTCCTCATCGGAGAGGTGCTCTGTGATCCCTCTGATCATGTTTGTGGCCCTCCTCTGGATGCACTCCAACAGGTCCATGTCTTTCCTGTAATATATCCTATATCATACTGGCCTGTTAAATATTCAGCTAGTTTTTAAAAAAAATAATCATTCATGTGGTTAGCAGCCACAGCATATCATGCTCAAATTCCCTTTTTTACTGTAAGCATAGGATACCTGTGAAAACAAAGCAGAATTTGGCCTGCAAAATAAGCAGAAGCTTATATCTCTGTATTATTTATTTCCTGTTCTTGGGCAGACTGAAATTGAAATGAAATAAGTATTAAAGTCTTTAACGGAAAGAAAAAAAAAAAAAAAACCCAAAAAAACAAAACACATCCAAGGCAGATTTCATGACAGCAGAACAAGTATCATTTTGAGTGGCAATGCAGCGACAATAACTTTTGGCTTCGATCCACATCAATCTGGAGGCCCAGCGACACAAGCCAAGCTGGCTCAGGATCACTTCTAAACAGGCAGTTATCACCTTCAGTGCAATAACATTCCAGAGGTCCAAATCAGGAGTAAGCCCTTTGCACAGGTGCAACATGCTCACCAGGCATAATCCTTCCTCTGCCGTAGCAAAAGTCCCTCCAAATTCTGGCTGGCCTCCCCAAATTTTCATGCTCCCTGCCTTTTCCCCTCTTTCCCACTTCATTCTGTTTTTCTGTGTGCTGTGAAATCTTAAGGATTTTAACGCAATTCATCTTTTCCTCTTCCATTTGTCAACCTTTCCTTCTTTTACAGATTGGTTCTGAACCGTCCCCTCAAGGACAAGTGGAGGAAACTCCTGTGAGCAATGAGAGGGGTGACGAGCCGGCTCGTCATGTCTTCTCCTTCTCCTGGTTGAACTCCCTCAATGAATGATGACTCATTCGGTTGGCTTCTGGTGTGCTTCTCCTCAGAGGGACTGTGAGCGCAGGCAGCCTGGCTGCAGTCAATGAAGAAACTGGCCTGGAAAGGGACATCCGAGCAGGTTTCATTCCCAGGAACTCAGCTGACCTCCACATCATACCCGGCCCTTGAGATGACAGTCCTGAGAGAGATGGGAGCATGGGGACACATTGCTATACTGTATTGTAGTCAGAGTGTTTTCCAGTAATTTCTTGTTTCCAAGGGGAAAATGGCATCACTACAGCTGTAGGCTGAGCACTGTCAGTGTTTTGTTATTCACTTTTTGGCACGTCCTGTGTAGGTGTAAATGCTTCACCAATGTTGTTAGCTAAAATGCTGGTATGATACTCACTAGTAGCATCCTTTGCCAACACGACGTTTCTCCTCAGTACCCTCCTGCCTCTCCGCTTGTCGGTGCTGGCAGCTTCAGTGAAACTATCGCGTTCTTGGCACCCCCAAGTCAGGGCTGCATCTAAGCACCTCCCTGCCGTCACTTGTGGTCCTCATGGTACCAGTGCCTCCCCGGCTGTGGAGGCCGAACACGGGAAGGGAGAGGGAAGCTGCCTTTTCTTTCTTTGCACTTGCTCTTCCTGCTAAGCCACAACAGATGATGCTCACATAAACAGCTTATTTGTAGGGAAGGAGCCCAGCGAGAGGGATGAGGAAGGTTCGCACGCCGAAAGCACTGGCCACACGCCACGCGTGGATGCAGGACACAGCTCTGAGCCTGTGGGGCAGACGTTAGCATGCTGCCCATGTCTGTCCAGCCATTACCTGTGTCTACATCTTCTCAGTCATCCCTGCGTGTAGGAAAAGGGATGTGTTCTTGTGTGAAACCAGAATGCGGTGAGGTGGTGACAGGTATGATTTGACAGCCCCGTGGTGTGCTGTAGAAAAGGCAAATGCCGAATGATCTGCTCGGTCTGCACAGCAGGTGTTGAGCCATCTAATGAAATCAAATTTGTGTTTTTAAAGAAACTCTGCAAGATGTACCGAAGGTGACACTCTGCAAGTTTTGTCACTGGGGAGAGGGTGCCAGCACTCAGTAGTGTTTAAGAGAGATGGGCAGGCTGCTGGGAGTGCTCACCGCCATGGGGGACCAGGTGTCAAGCTCTGCGCTACGGTCAAGTGTGGATCTCTCCAGGAGCCCCAAGTCAAGCCCTAAACACAGGGGTTTGGCAAGGGACTGTGCCGGAGCACAGGGTGAGAGTGGCAAGTGGCAGGCTGTGGGGGGCTGGCCCCACTCCTGGCCATCCCTTGCTACAGGGCTGAGTCACATCGATCCTCATTTGTGTTTCCCCTGGAAAAGGCTCCTGCCAGAGAAGTTTCAGAGGGCTGTGTGGCTGAGGTCTGCACAAAGCCTTGAGGCTGGCACAGCCCGGAGCAAGGGCCTCTCCTGGAGCAGCTTTCTCCCCGGGAGTTGCTTTGGGGTGCGGGATTTCCTGTTTTCTCCCTGTTGTCCAGGTGGCTTTTCCTCCATTCCTCACGGGAAG